TAATAACATTACAAGAAAGAAACACCTTTGACTTTTAATTAAGTTTAAAAATTTGAATTTTGGCCAGCATTTTAAATAAAACACTCCACTGTGCGTTGAATGGAAGGATAGGAACGATATTTATTCTAAAAACGTACTGTTTGTAAGAAATGTTATTCTCACAACTTGTTCTAGGAAGCTTTATCATTTTGCAGTATATTATTTATAAAGAATAACGTTTTATTCTCGTGCTTTATTTTAACAAGATGGATCATTATAAAAGACACTTAAATACACAAGTAATAGGCAATATTTTATTATTAAAAAATGTACCACTTTGCAACGAATATTTTCCTTAATATTTATTTATTAATAAATAATATTTTCCTTAGTGGACTGAATTCATAGTAAGTAGAAGTTTCTCGTTGAATTTCATTGTACAGAATTTTTCCTATAATAGCGTTAAAGAGGTAAATTCTTTTAGAAACTCTTTCAGAATTGTCCAATCAAATACAATTCGTGTGATTCATGATGTGTTAAAAATTAAAGGAATCAATTTTCGAGCGGTTATTTGCCCCGGTAGAGAATTTTTAAAGTTAAAATCAGGTGCTGGAACTAGTTTGAAAGAGAAATTTTTAATTAGGGAAACTTAAATAAATTACAGTAAATCGAGTATGTAGAAAATTCATTGAAATAGATAATTGAGTAATTTGAGTTAGATCTAGATGTAATTACACGATACGTTAAAAATATTCAAAACGATATTTATCTTCCTTGTAATGGAATATTGTAAATTGGTTTTTGTACATTAACGTGAAATAACCAATTCTCTCGATAACTATTCATAGTCAAAAAACAAAGATTCTCTAAAACTTACGCCGAAAAATGTTTGAAAACAAATCGGTGCAATTGAGCAATAAGAAATAAAGAAGGATTGCATGCTTAAGTGATTCACCCTCTGGTTTAATCTCAAACCTTCAAAAATCTGCTTAGACGAATTTCGATTAATATAAATATTACTGTAACTAAATATGCGCTAGCTTCTCTCTAAAAATTCTAAATCACTGTGACTTACTATATTTTAGATGAGAAACCAATCATTTATATCTGATTATTTACTGTACATTTTTAACAAAACAAAGTACAAACTTTGATATTACAAGGATTTTTAAAGGATATTTTGTAAAGGGTGAGCTTAACATACGTTTACGCCAGAAACAACGTAGCATGACATAGAGCACATTTTATTTCTTAATTAGTGATAATAATTATTTAGCATTGACCGAAATCGAGTACATATTGTATATTCCTCTTCGATCGGAGTTCAATAATCATAATAGATTAATTTATTAATATAAGTGTAATTAATTGTAATGTATTGTCTGAAAGTATCACTGCGTTGCATCCACTGGTCGTCTCTTCCCACTTCGACAAGAACAACCGAACGAATCAACGAAATAAAATCATAGACAAGTACGAACAGCAAAAACATACAGCCTAGCAAATAAACAAACAAAGAAACAAAAGTGTCCCCCTGCTCTTTTTTTTCGTATTTCTCGACGAATTCCAGACATTCTGAACGCTTACAAAATATAAGTGGAACAGAATCGCGAGAAACACGAAAAACGTGCGGGTTTTGCATTGTAGAGAAACGAGATAAGCGAATGTATATAAAGAGACCAGAGGAAAAGAAAGTATGGCGTCCGTAATTCGATTCTTCCAGACCAAGGATGCTCAGTGACTTTGCGGGGAACGATAGATTCGATGTCTGCTCGAACCCCGAAATAGTTAGATTACAATTAAAATGCGGAGAGCTTGTCACTTCGAACGGAACAACGTGCGTTCGAAAGTACGTGTCTCCCTCATTCTCATTCTCTCACTCTCTCTCGCTCTATCTCTCTCTCTTTGTTTCATCACGCAACATATACTAGCTAGAAAAAATATAAGCCTATCTATAACGCAAATGATACATTTCTATGAGAAATACTACCTAGTTAAACATACGTACACGTATACGTATATATGTATATATAAAAAAGCTCGTTCGTAGCTATTACGAATACATTAGGAAGAGAAAAAAAAAAAAAAGCAACGAATTAACGATAATTAAAAGACGAGTAAAAACAATCAAAGTTGATAATTACATCCTGAAGATCGTAGATTCGAAGTGGCGTGCTTCATCGTTCGAAAAGGAGGCAAGCCCTCCGCAGAACAATATTCAACATTTAACATTAGCCAACATTTATAGAGTAAGATACCGATTTTTTTTCTTTAGTATTTATAGATCGTTTCATCTCGTTCTTCCATTTATTTTTATTTTATTCCTCCACGATCATCAATCGTGTTATTCCCGGTTGACAGAGAGGTTTGCTGTTGCAGGTCCACGAGGGCAACTGCGAACTTGACGCGAAAATAAATATCACGCGACGAGAATTAGTCACCCTTGATACTCTTTTTCCCTTTTTTCCCACTTTTGCTTTTTTTTGGTTTTTCTTTTAAAATGTAATTCGTAGGTACCGGTACAGTGTTTCTCAAACCGCAAGAAGGATAATTGGTGATATGTCTCTCGTTCCAAGAGGATACTTATATTGCTATCATTTGCACGTGGACGCAAGTTACAAAACTCCCAACAACTTTCTTCAATCGCGATTTTTCTTTGTACCTAGTAGCTTTGTCTTTCTCTGAATAATTCTCTGGTAAAGCGTGGAAGATGAAACTCGCGCCTCACTAATTCTCATTTATTCTTATTAATTGACGAAACTCTTAGCAGTAGCTAACGCTCGGAAGAACATAAGACTATCACAACCTGTGGTTCGTAGCTACGATTATTTTTCACGCTCCTTATATCCTTGAACTAATTATGAAAACGCTTCTTTTTTTTCTTTTCTTCCTCTGTATGGCACCTAGTCGCTATAATTACGTTCTTCCGCGAGCGTGTCGCTCTGCCGAAGACAAAAATCACAAGAACGAGAGTTTGTTTCCTCTATTGCTTCAAAGGAGGGATAACACGAACGCTTCCTTTTTTTATTTGACCGCGAAACGTTGTCGATTTCTAACAGAATCTATGAAATTTTCACTCTTCTAATTGCTTCCTCGTGATCGTGCCTTTGAGAAACACTGGATCCAGCAATCGCGATAACTGATTATAAACAGCGTGACGTTAAACTTTTAATATTGCACAACATCGATAACAGTTCGAGCTTTTTTTTTTTTGTTGGAAAAAAGTTTCATGCAACTCACGATAATAATTACAATAGACAAAATTATATCAATGTTTGTTCTTCTCCTGCTTTTCTTTTCCTTTCTGTTTTTTTTTTTCTTTTCTTGTTTCGTATTTGCAATGACTGAACGCTGATGACGGTTGCAACAATAGTAGTATTCGAATGCGTCAGCCAATAATTTGCAACGATTTATTTTTTTTGCTTTGTTTTCTTCTTTTTCGTGGTAAATCAACCCGTAAGTTTCATTCTTGACAATTTAGACGGCACCAGAACAACGTTCCAATTCAACTCGTCAATCTATAGCTAGAACTTTGCCTCCTAGAAAATATATTAGTTTACAGATTACACGAGATCATAGTAATGTAATGAACTGATAGAAAATACCTAATGTTTACAATATTATGACATACCATCTAAATGTAACGTAAGTATATAGAAGTATGAATAAAACTAACTGTTTAATAATATCAACGTTAAATGTCACGTTACGTTATAATTACTTAATTAGTAGGACTACCTATGACCACACAAAGTCATAATCATATGACACTCGTGTTGCAACGTTGTTCTAAGGATGCCGTGAAAATCATAAAATACCAACTATTCGAAATTGCCGTTGGAACGGTTCAGAATGTAAGGTAAGGCCAAGAAAAAGAACAGGTACATATAAATACATATACATACATATATATATATATATATAAATAAATATAATAAGTAAGTTATATACTCTAACATTATTATAATATTATACTTAGCAAATATTTTGTTGAAGATTACCTAAAATCCACGTGGCAACAAATAACCAAGTTCCTTAATTACTTTCATTGTTCTGGCGATTGAACTCTCGTACAAAGTCCAGGAAGGGTGGAAATCAAAATGTCTGACCGCGAAGACAATTAATAAGTACTCGGATCTCTAGATTAAAGTCTACTTTCTTTCCAGAATTTCATGGTTATTCTTTATCCAGCAATTTGAGTTCACTCGCTATAGGAAGTCACACTTAACAAGTACTAAACATCTAAATGAAAAAAAGAAAAGAGGAAAGATTATAAGGGACCGCAACTACGATTCACGTGAAAAGAGCGAAAAATTATCATTAGTTAAATTAATTAGGAGCATTACTGACAGAAACACACGTTATTAATCATATGTGCTATTAACGTTCTTTTTTACGAGCCGAAAGTCATAATGGAAAACACGAATAGAATCATCTCTAATTCATCGCTGTTAATCGACGACTTCGTGGAAGAGGTTCGCCGCCATTCTGAAGATCACTTAAACTAAATCCTAACCTCTATTCGGTGTCACCTAAATGATTAAAAAGAACGACAAACGATACGAGATTAAAGGTCGAAAAGCGACGAAAGGAATGGAAACGATTCGCTATACAACGTATCAATAGATATTAATAATACGAGTTATACGGTTTCTTTTTTGCTGCGCCGTGCGGACCAACGCAAAATGGATGACATGATTCGATGAAAGTATCTCTTTCTCGCATCAGGAACCGTGCGCTTTAAAACATGATACAACAAATAACAAACACATAGAAACGAATATACAGAATGAGCAATGACCATTGAACGATGAATGTGTCGCGCATTTGAAACGCTTAAATGAGCAAGAAGAAATCTTAAAACTGAAGACACGATTATTGTCAAATCGATTATCTATAAAAACAACATAATTTTAAAATGTTACTAATAAATACATGATTGTTGAACGAATGAATGGAAAATACTTGACGTAAAGAGTACTTTGAACGTTCTTCAGGAGTCTCAGTGCAGTCTTGGCGCTCTGACACCTTTGTGCAATTAAACTTTGGTGAGAAAAACTAACGGACGATGTTACACAGATGACACATGAGACGACGTAGAAAGTGAAACAAGAGCCGCCCTTAACAGTGGACTGCCATCGTAGGTACTTCATGATGTATAATGTGTGTATGTTTATGTGTATGTGTGTGTTCATACTTAATCGTAGTGTACTCCTGTGTTATATATATATCTGCGCGCGCGAAGGTCCTTACGTCGATAAAAGACACTATAACATTATATATGTACATTAACATGCGTATAGAGCTATTCTTGGAGACAAGAGGGAAATAAACGAAACAAGTAAAATAGTGTAAAACTTGGGAATCCATCATTTCGAACAAGCCTGGGGCATCGTAACGTAAGTGATTTCAATAGAGAATAGTCTTGACAGAGAGATTTTTAGGCTAATTGGAGCGTAAGATAATTCTCATGGTAAACGCTGGTGAACGAATACAGGGTCTTTGGTTTCGAGACGCACCGCGTCCTCTTAAGGTAATGGCACTACGACTTGCACGTAAGTTACTGGGAAATAACCCGTGCGACCGTTCAAGATACCCTCGTACCAGTTCTCATCGATTTTCTTGGTCAAAGTGATTGTATCATTCTCCTGAAAACAAATACAAAATTATTATACACTTCTTATCGTTTCGTGTCCAAAATGAATTTATTGATCAGGACTTCTATATCCAAATATAGAAATATTAATTGAAGAGTACAAGGAAAAAAGTATAAGTGTCCATTTAATGTTATTTTGAGTAAAACAAACTTTAAACGAAACCTGTACTGATTCTTCCGACATTATTGAATTAATTAACATTTACTTTACGGTCATACTTAAAAGATGCATTCACATAGCATAAAGACACTGTACAATGCACATTCCCTTCTTTGTTCCATATAAACACAGATGCCCCCACATTTTCTTCTATGTACTGTTATTGTTTAAATAGCAATAACTTGAAACTTTCATCTCTTTTTCCATTTCTACGATAAAAAATACATCCATATGCATTCAAATATCATAACAAGCAAAAAATGGACACTCATCCTTTTTCCCTTGACTCTTCAATTACTAGCTTTTAGTTACTATATACTTTATAAAACCATGTGCTGTTTAATAAATATGCTGATACTCTGTAAAATTGACAGAACAAAGGATAATAGTAAAAACGACTAATTTTGAACCTTATTGGAAAATACAGAATTTTTATACACTATGCATCTGTAATTTTTCCACAAAAATCGTTTATAATTAAATAAAATGTTTTCTAATATACAAAAAATAAAATGACAGGGTAGTTAACATGAACTAGTTTAGTTTGGATAAAGAATAAAAAGATGTCTGAATACTTATATTTACTTTAAAGCCGAGTTCTCCAGGATTTTCTGGCTCAAAATCGTACAAAGCGGTGCAGCAAGGTTGTCTTGCCATCGGAGTCCTGGCTGGCGATTTGCTCGGAGATGGCAAAGGAGATGCTAGAAAGTAATAGAATTCTCAGAATTATCCTCAAAACAAATTGGGTAATGCAACGAAACATTAGACTTGCTGCAATAGCCTTTAAAACACTATGGTATCTAAACATCTGCTTGATGATTTGTATCTTATCTTGGATAAGACACAATATATAATGCAAAATTAAAAAATAACATTTAATGGCTATAACGGAATGATTTTTCTCACTAAAAACTAGATAAATTTAAGAAGTACGATGACATTAATATTCGAGCACCAAAGTATTTTGGGAATTACAGTTCTGTATACTTGCTTAAAATTCTATCCAGAGATTAATTTTTTAAGTAGGATATAGTAGATGTACATTTTATTTATTCAACTTAAATGCTTTATCGTATCATAGAGTAATCTCAAGCAATATCGTAATAAGTACATATGCAAAATGGTTAATTCTCAAGATCTTTTGGTGTCCAAATTATTACTGCATATCACTGGAATCTATGAAATTAACAGAAAACAAAGGTTTCTACAAAAAGCGCATTCTAGCACACACACACACACACACAAAAAAAAATACGATCATTAGAGAAGCATACATGCAAATAGTTAATGATCGTTAAGTCGCTAAATAAGAGTACATCGATATAAGTATGCAAAAGGCAAAATAGTAATTACTTTCTTGCCCTGTTCGCGGGTGCACGAAAAGCGATAGAATTGAAATTGAATAATTAATCGATCAATTGAACCCTACAGTATGAGAAGCCAACGCCATGCAAAATTTACCATTGGCAGATTGTGGCGGGTTTCCGGCTGGAAATAGCTCGAGCTGCGAGCGCTTCCCGTCCATATGGATCGGAGACCCAGCTCGACTTGCCCCTACATCGTGTCAGAAGGACAGACATTCAAGTATGCGACAGTATACAGAGAGGACAGTCGAACAACGTGTGATGAAAAGTGTTATGAATGAGTTCGATGTAGTTGTTCGTAAATGAAAATGTATATAATATTTCTGGTTCACGTGTATGTAGAATTATCTTTGAAACTATCAAGATTACAAAAAAGTTACTCATTGTAGAGGTTGATTTACTTTAAAGGAAAATATACAGTATTGAATTGAAAATTTTTACAACATTATTGTACAGGATTTGAATTTCATTTCAGTTTCTAAAATAAGCAACATTGCATCGTGATTACTATTCTTTTGAAAAATGTTAAGTCACTATTTTTCATTTATGAACCACAGAACCACTACATATTTTTCTTTTTTGTTATTAATAATAAATTACTAATTGAAATTGCATTTTATTTACCTTACTGATACACAATAAAATGTGTATAAAGAAAATTTAATTAAAAAATAAGTTAATACGGAAATCCAATACTATATTTGTTGCTTTAAATCAAATAACATTTTTGAATCTTCAGTAACTTTAGAACACTAAGCCAAACATACCACATGATACTAATGATCATAATCAATGTTAAATTACAAGAAAATTTGTTATTATTACATATAAAATTATTATGTTATGTTTAATTAATATACCCTACTTTTCATTTGACCTCAATTAAGTAATGATAAATAGAATTTACCAACTTTCACATTAAAGTTGAAGCATAGTTTAACAATACTTTACATATTAATATTGTATTATTCTGTTAGAAAATTATCCAAAGTTAATTTAACGTGTGTAAGTGTAATATATTGCTTCGAGTGCAAAAGGGAGAAAGAATTTAACGTCCATCTGAGAGCCAAAGAAATGGCGAGGTAAATTCAGTTAGGAGATAATACGACAATGTATACGTCCAGAATGTATAGTTGCAGGACACGCAGAGAGATGTTGCATAACAGAGGAAACAAGAAACAGACAGCCAATCCACCCGCAAGTATCACCATGTTGTATGTGTATGTGTTAAATGTGTTTTACCGTGAAGGGAGAAGTTCCCACCGTTCATAGCATCCGATGTGGGTAATGCATCAACGTGTAAATCAGCTAAGGTCTTCGGCACGAACTCCAGCTTTGGCTTGTTCGCTGCTTCGTCTTTCCTATAATTAAAAATGAAAATTTCATTGCAACATTAGACAATTACTATGAGTAATAAACAGAAGCTAAATCTATGACAAGAAGTAACGAAACCAGTAACTATTACCACTTTCAAATCTCCAAAATTATAGAAATCAGAACAAAAATAATTTGTATAGTCAGCTGTCAATAGTTACTGTATCATACTATACAGAGTGTCTCAGAAATAAAATACTTAATTATCCCTTTTATTTCAGATTATACATTCTGCTGAAAATGTTTCAAATATAATTTAAATAGTTTTAAAAAACATAGTAAATAAAAGTAAATAAAAATTATCTAATTCAGTAAACTTCGATAAAAAATTATGTCTGAAACATTTTCCCGTGTCATCAGAAACAAAAAAGGTAATTAGATGTTCTGGTTCTGGTGGGACACACTATATCAGTACGTACTTCTCTAAGAGCGTCTCTGTTAGTGTTCTCAGAATCTCAGTACACTGTTGATGGTACTCCAGAAGAGCTTCACTGAATGTCGCCAACTGTGCCACTTGTTCTACCTAAAAATAAAAAAATATGGAAAACATCAATGAAATGCCCTCATACAATATGTACATTACATTTCAAACTTTTTAAAATATTGCATGACCTAATTATTTTTTACTTACATCGTTCTCTAAGAGATTGAACATGCCCAATTGTGCCAGATGAAGACTTTCAGCAAATTTCTCCTCAGCTTGACGAATCTCGTCGTCTGAAACGTGAGAACCTGCTCGCAAAATTTGCGCCGGTGAAGATATTAAAAATTGCACTACTGGGTTGCTTTAATGCCTAAGTTCGGTACATATAATAAGTACAGAGCACAAGGATAAGAAGAAGCTAGCAAAATTAAACCGAGTAAAACGCTTAAATATTTTGGTCGTGTGCGTTCTTTCTTTTCTAAACACAAGCGTGTACAAATATTCAAGTTTCATTGTGAAATGTGCAAAGTACAACGCATTCAACATTCGCAGTAGCTTTGGTGCACTTTTAAGTACTTATACCTGTTACTTTTGATATTCTTTGTACAATTGTTTGAGAGTATAGTGTACATTTTACAATCGTGTAAGTCTACGTGAATTTATTTTAAAAAAGGAATATACAAAGATACGTCAAAGTTTTGAAAAGAATAGTGGGATTGGGATTTTATTCGTTTGATTCTAATGTAATGTTATTTTTATAGATATTAAAAGGAACTAACTTAAATTTTGAGGGGTTTAATTATGAATACCAGAAAACTGAAAATACAACGTCGAATTTGATAATTATTGTACGTAAAGAAGTCACGTACCAGTGTACGGTGACGAGGACTTGGCTGGACTTCCAAAATGTGGACTTGCAGATCTTTTTCCAACGGCTAATGATTAAGAAAGCAGAAAAACAAACAAAAAACGAAATCTATTTGTCTTTTACTCAAGATGAAGAACTCAATGGTCAAATAATTTGCAAATAAATATTCAATTGTATGTTAAGATCAGTGAATTGAGAGAAACAAAATTATGGTATAAATTCTACTGAACCTAATATGCAGGGTGTTTCATTTAATTTGAGTATCTAAAATATTTCTATTATTACTAATAATCCAAAAATATATTTCTGGATATCAAATGATTTTAGCTACAATTATGAATATTTATTAACAAAGTAGGCAATTATATAAATGGAATTTATATTTTTTTTAAATTTATATAGAAAAACTATGAAGAGATATGATAGAGTTCAACAGTATTGCACGTTTTAAGATTTCACTTAAAAGTTTAAAAATATGCGTATGAACTTAAATAGTTTATTTACACATAACACCTGATTTGCTTGCATCTCAATTTAAGAAACTAAGAATATCTAGAATATAAGTTAATTATTGCTGTATTTCAAGCACAAATTCAAATAAGTTTCTTTTAAAAAATTTTCAATAAAATTATGCAATAGAGTGTTGATCCGTAATAAGCACCTGCTGGCGTGTTATATATATACATCTCGAGCCTCTCGCTCGCTCTCCATGTTCTCTCGTCCCGTTCGAGAACAAAGTCAAGCCAAATAGCATACCTGATTCGTAATAAGCAACTCGTCGGTCCCGATCGAGTTACTTATTACGGATCAAAACTGTATATAGTATCATGGAACATATCTTGTTCTGTTCTGAAAGAAAACACATATAAAGTGCTATTCAAAAATTTAGAATATTTAACAATATTACTTTGTAGATTATTTCGAATTTTATAGCGAATATGCCAATATACATTCAAAATAATATGTTTCTACATTCTTCTTTTTGAGTGCAGTTTATAGCCTAAAAATTGTAAAACAATTTCACTTTCTTAAATTAAATTAACAATTACGTCCTTAAACGAAGCTTATTACGAAATGATTAAATCCCAATCTTAACTTTAACATATGTTTCACTTAAAAAACATGAACAACTTTAAATACAAAAAAAAAAGAAATCCCAAAATAAAAATTTGCTCTTTAAAATATTTTTTCATGGTCGCTAACTATATTAGAAATATTTTAAACGTGATTCACAGGAGAAGGTCCCCAAGTGTAAATCGCCAATTTTTATGAAACTTACGTACAATGTAGTTTCTGAAAAAATATTTAACACATATTTTTTTGTACTAGTCGACTCTTAAGTTTAAAGGGTGAAAATAGTTTTCAATGTTGAAGTTAACAAATTTTTTTCAATATCTTAAACACTATTCGATTTTGAAAAATGGTTCAAATGTTTTGTTTTAATGTCAAAAGAATAGAATTAACGCGGAAGTATTAATTTTTAATATGTTATTTAAACAAAAGGTGTTTAAAAAATATTTACATAAGCGGACTTCTTATTAAAAAACACACATTTTGTATATTTAAGCCCTTTTCTAAACTCAATAGTTTCTGAGATATTGTAAAAAAATGTTTCAACTTCAACTTTGAGAGGTATTTTCCCTAAACTTGGGATTCGGCACGTAAAAAAAAAATGTCTAATATTTTTTCGACAATTACATTACACGTACATATGTAAGTTCATTATCAAAATCGATGATTAACAGTTGGAGACCCTACCTTGTTAGTGAAACACCCCGTACAATAAATAAGAAATCATCGTCAATATAACATCGACCAACTATAATTCATCTATGACAGCGTGCACATGCAGCAGAACGTGCGAATGGAATGCCTGTAAACGGAGACAGACGCGTAAAAGTGAAGTAAAAACGCAGGAAGAACGCACGCCTAAATTGTGCGTTAGAGCTTCACTTTTCTTTCTTTTTTTTTTCTGTCTTTTACTCGACGTCTTTTTCCAGACGTTCGACGAATTATATTTAAAGTTGGAAAAGAGAATATATACAAATATATACTGTATACAAATATATATGTATATATAATTGCAAACGCCACGCGTCGAGTTTTCGTGTTCGTCGCAAGGACGTAACGTATCAGCCCCGACACGGTGTTGTGCTTAAATAAATCAATAAACGTCGCGGAGAGATAAAGTCAACTCGCAGCCAAGTATACCTTTCGCCTGACGTCTTCGCTTGCAATCGAAGTCCAGCCTTCGTCCCTGAAGTTTTTTCCGGTGATGCTGAAACAAAAGAGAATATCAATTCCACGCACACCATCATCTTTATCTTTCTCATATATTCTCATCATGTTAACTGAAACAACACTGCTCATCGAAGCAGAAGAAAGGAAACTTTTTTAATAACCATCGCCATCGTCACCACTTACCATCACTTCCTTCAGATCTTTAGTCTGCAAATGGTGCAGGGGCTCCAAGAAGTTTTGTTTAATGTTGTCGTCCAGCGAATATTTCACATCCGCCATCTGCTTCATCGCCTCGCCCATTTCAACGAGTGCCTGAGCTGTGAACAGGAATTAAAAAAGATATATGACCCGAATCTCTTCGCCGGTGTTTAGATGCATATTTATGCGTCTACTTTTGCAGATTCCTCCGTAAGTAAGGTACTTGCGGAAAGTTGCACCGCCATATTTCGACGCAAATATTCGTTAGAGGCTGAAGTCGGGGCAAAGCTTTCTGGTGACAGAAAGTGTTTGAGAGCTTTGTCTGGATGTGATTCAGTTATATTGTTAGAAAACGGTCAATTACAAAGTGAATCAAGCGATATTGGATTTAGTATTTCTAATACAAAAGAACTTAAATTGTCTAACCCTCAATTGTAAAACCCTCTGTACACTGTACCGGAGTCACTGCTGACTCGCCGTCTTAAGAGCGATAACGCACACAGCGACGGAACTGTACATGTAGTTACAAAATGACAATCGCTTAGCATTACCACTACAAATCCACAACGAGAAGTGTAACCGAAAACGGAACGTTCGGTTTCTTTAGATCTCACTCAACATAGCGGCAAATGAACCAATTCATAGAAATAAAACACTCGTGCTCGACTTTTCTTCAGCTCTCAAAAATATAAATCCCTTTTTAGTTTCTTACAAAACTTTGAAGATGAAAGACGTATGCGAGAAGACCAAAAATTTATTCTATGCAAAAGTCTATTTTTTATTATCTTTGTTGTTTGGTTTTTACACCATGTCAATACTACCAAGTACCAGCGAGCAATCTCTGTATGCTCAATTTGCCGCAGCCAAAGACGATCACATATTCATCACAAAAAAAGACAATTATATTATGTTATGCGTGTACCAGTAATATGAATGTTACAATAAATATAATTTTTTTATAATTCCTGATTCTTTCCTAAATGTTCTCCCGATCAAGATGAAGCCACCGTCATTGGTTAGTACAATATCGGCGAGGAGTTCGAGCGACTGTGAATTATCGGTGGGAGTCAGAAGTGCAGTAGTGCGAGGGTTAACACGTTCGCTGCCACCGTCGAAGCATCGTTGACACGGAATGTCTTGCTCTGGATCCCAGTGTCGACAGTGCATCGACGGTGTGCCAGTCGGTCACATATGATGCACGGGACATTAATATGCAAAATAATATATAAAAAAATATATTAGAGATTTGAATATTATCCCTATAATATAATTAGAAAATGATATGTACACTTTAACCCTCCACAGGCAATCTGGGTCGCTGACAACTCAAACGAAATTTCACATTTGTGTTTCTTCGAAACGAATTTTTATGGAAAAAATTTTTAATACATAATAGCAAAGACCAATAAATATTCCAAAATTTTTCCAGAATTTTTGAAAGCCTAGAACAGTAAATAAATTAGACTTGGACATAAACCACTCAGATTGCCTACGGAGTGTGAAAAAATATATTTGCTCGCCCAATTAAACACATCGAGATATTATTCTCCCAAAAAATTGTCCATAGTGTTCTATTACGTAAATTAAATTAGCATACCAAAAATACTGTCCTCGCCCAATTTCTTGCCATAAATAAGCATGCAATCCCCAAGAACACCTTCCGGTTGGGGATAAGTCGAAGCTTTCGCCTGGCCGCTAAGCTTGCTGATGCCCTTGACCGCCGCCATCTTCGCTCTCGCCGTTGGATTTGGTTGAAGGAACTCTTTCGTTTTCATCTGTAACTCCTCCACCAGCTCGTACGTGACGTCCGTTTTCTACGATCAAAGTTGTATCATTTTACACACCTGTCCATTCGAACACAATTAATAAAACACTCGTTTTTTCTCTATTCGTATGATTATTAAGGGATAAAGAGAAATTCTAGTAACAATGAAAAGAAACACAAAGAATTTCATCATCCTACGAGAAGATCGATTCAAGGTTAAACGCGACGCAATAGGAACACCTCGTGGAAACCTTAAAAATATAGAAAAGCGTACTCACCCTCTCCATGTCCATGAAGTCGACGTCGAGCTTTGTTCCTTCCGCTCCGCCCATCTTCTCTGTCATATACTATAAAATAGAAATTCAATTAATGAAACGGTCAATTAATGAAAAATAGAATAGTATGTACAAAATACATATTTGAGTAGAGTCATGCTCTTTAATCATACGTTATTTCGATCAAGTGCGGAATACGATTAAAATACTCTTTGCACCCACTGTAGACCTAACGTTACTAGTGAAAATTATGAGTTTAAAACTGTAAGTTCAGAGAATGAATCCAATTGCAAAATAACGCATACTCTTAACCCCTTAAGCGGGGAAAGAATTTTTGCAAATCATTCGCTGGGTGAGGAATACTATTTTGGAATATAAATACATATAAAATGTTAGACAATGCTTATCTTACTGTTTTATATTGTCTTTCTTGCTATTTTTTTATAAA